CTGAGGAATGGGAAGGGGAGTTGAAATGGTTCGCAACTGGGAGGTGCAGTTGTTTAGTGCAAACCGAGCGTAGGTGTTCTGCAAAGCGGTCCCCAAGCCTCCGCTTGGTTTCCCTGATGTAGAGGAGGCCACAACGGGAACAGCGGATGCAGTATACCACATTAGCAGATGTGCAGGTGAACTTCTGCTTGATGTGGAAAGTCTTCTTGGGGCCTGGGATGGGGGTGAGGGGGGAGGTGTAGGGGCAGGTGTAGCACTTCCTGTGGTTGCAGGGAAAAGTGCCGGGTGTGGTGGGGCTGGAGGGGAGTGTGGAGCGGACAAGGGAGTCACGGAGAGAGTGATCCCTCCGGAAAGCAGATAAGGCTGGGGAGGGAAAAATGTCTTTGGTGGTGGGGTCGGATTGCAGATGGCGGAAGTGTCGGAGGATGATGCGTTGGATCCGGAGGTTGGTGGGGTGGTACGTGAGGACGAGGGGTATTCTTTTTTGGTTGTTATTGCGGGGAGGGGATGTGAGGGATGAGTTGCAGGAAATGCGGGAGACCAGGTCGAGGGCGTTCTCGACCACTGAGGGGGGAAGTTGCAGTCCTTGAAAAACGAGGACATCCGAGATGTACGGGAGTAGAATGCCTCATCCTGGGAGCAGATGTGGCAGAGGCGAAGGAATTGGGAATAGGGGATGGCATTTTTGCAGGAAGGTGGGTGGGAGGAGGTGTATTCTAGGTAGCTGGGGGAGTCGGTGGGCTTGAAATGGATATCGGCTTCTAGGTGGTTGCCCGAGATGGAGACAGAGAGGTCCAGGAAGGAGAGAAAGGTATTAGAGATGGTCCAGGTGAACTTAAGGTTGGGGTGGAAGGTGTTGGTGAAGTGGATGAACTGTTTGAGTTCCTCGTGGGAGCACGAGGCGGCACCGATACAGTCATCAATGTAACGGAGGAAGAGGTGTGGTTTAGGGCCAGTGTAGACAAGGGAGGCGCAGTTGTAGTATTGCGCACTGACCTCTACATCGCCGAGGCCAGACGCCAACTCTCCAACACCTCCTTCTACCGCCCCCTTGATCATGACCCCACCCCTGAGCACCAAACCATCATCTCCCAAACCGTCCACAACCTCATCACCTCAGGTGACCTCCCACCCACAGCCTCTAACCTCATCATTCCCCAACCCTGCACCACCCGCTTCTATCTCCTTCCCAAAATCCACAAACCTGACTGCCCTGGTCGACCCGTTGTCTCCACCTGCTCCTGCCCCACCGAACTTATCTCCACCTATCTCGACTCCATTTTCTCCCCCTTGGTCCAGGAACTCCCTACCTACGTCCGTGAAACCACCCACGCCCTCCACCTCCTCCAGAAGTTCCAATTCCCCGATCCCCAACACCTCATCTTTACCATGGACGTTCAGTCCCTACACACCTGCATTCCCCATACAGAGGGCCTAAAGGCCCTCTGCTTCTTCCTGTCCCGCAGGCCCGACCAGCCCCCTCATCCGCTTAGCTGAACTCGTCCTCACCCTCAACTTCTCTTTCAATTCCTCCCACTTCCTACAGACAAAGGGGGTGGTCATGGGTACCCGCATGGGCCCAAGCGATGCCTGCCTCTTTGTAGGTTACGTGGAACAATCCCTCTTCCGTACCTACACTGGCCCTAAACCCCACCTCTTCCTCCGTTACATTAATGACTGTATCGGCGCCGCCTCATGCTCCCACGAGGAGCTCAAACAGTTCATCCACTTCACAAACACCTTCCACCCCAACCTTAAGTTCACCTGGACCATCTCTAATACCTTTCTCTCCTTCCTGGACCTCTCTGTCTCCATCTCTGGCAACCACCTGGAAACCGATATCCATTTCAAGCCCACCGACTCACACAGCTACCTAGAATACACCTCCTCCCACCCACCTTCCTGCAAAAATGCCATCCCCTATTCCCAATTCATTCGTCTCCACCACATCTGCTCCCAGGATGAGGCATTCCACTCCCGGACATCTCAGATGTCCTCGTTTATCAAGAACCGCAACCTCCCCCCCCATCAGTGGTCGAGAACGCCCTCGACCGTGTCTCCCGCATTTCCTGCGACTCATCCCTCACACCCCCTCCCCACAATAACAACCAAAACAGAATCCCCCTCGTCCTCACGTACCACCCCACCAACCTCCAGATCCAACGCATCATCCTCCGACACTTCTGCCATCTGCAATCCGACCCCACCACCAAAGACATTTTTCCCTCTCCAGCCTTATCTGCTTTCCTGAGGGATCACTCTCTCCATGACTCCCTTGTCTGCTCCACACTCCCCTCCAGCCCCACCACACCCGGCACTTTTCCCTGCAACCACAGGAAGTGCTACACCTGCCCCTACACCTCCTTCCTCACCCCCATCCCAGGCCCCAAGAAGACTTTCCACATCAAGCAGAAGTTCACCTGCACATCTGCTAATGTGGTATACTGCATCCGCTGTACCCGTTGTGGCCTCCTCTACATCAGGGAAACCAAGCGGAGGCTTGGGGACCGCTTTGCAGAACACCTACGCTCGGTTTGCACTAAACAACTGCACCTCCCAGTCGCGAACCATTTCAACTCCGCCTCCCATTCCTCAGACGATATGTCCATCCTGGGCCTCCTGCAGTGCCACAACGATGCCACCCGAAGGTTGCAGGAACAGCACCTCATATTCCGCTTGGGAACCCTGCAGCCCAATGGTATCAATGTGGACTTCACAAGCTTCAAAATCTCCCCTCCCCCTACCGCATCCCAAAACCAGCCCAGCTCGTCCCCGCCTCCCTAACCTGTCCTTCCTCCCACCTCAAGCCCCACCCCCATCTCCTACCGACTAACCTCATCCCGCCCCCTTGACCTGTCCGTCCTCCCTGGACTGACCTATCCCCTCCCTAACTCCCCACCTACACTCACCTTTACTGGCTCCAACCCCACCTCTTTGACCTGTCTGTTCCTCTCCACCCATCTTCTCCTCTATCCATCTTCTATCCGCCTCCCCCTCTCTCCCTATTTATTTCAGAACCCCCTTCCCCTCCCCCATTTCTGAAGAAGGGTCTAGGCCCAAAACGTCAGCCTTCCTGCTCCTCTGATCCTGCTTGGCCTGCTGTGTTCATCCAGCTCTACACCTTATTATCTGGGGTAAAGAGAGAGTTGGGAGTGGTGGAGGATGCAGGTGGGGGAGAGGGGCGTGGCCTCGAGGGCAAAGTGGGTGGTGCCCAGGCGGTGATTGACGGCCCGTTCGGGGAGTGGGCGGGGACTGGAGAGCAGGGGGCGGTTCCACAGGGTGATTGACGGCCCATTCGGGGAATGGGCGGAGAAAATTCAAACAGGGGCGGGGTCCTGGGGGTGATTGACAGCCCCGGGGCCGGGGTGAACTGACATTAGTTAATAATGGACGGCCAGGCACGGAGCCGGTGACAAACCGGGATCGATGCGGTCGGCAAGCGTCGCAAACATGTTGACGCTGTGAACGGACGGAGCGCGGCATCACGCGAACACCTACCGAGGAGAAGGCCGTCCATGTCGAAGATGACATGAGTAACCGGCTTGAAATCTGTAGTACAGCTCGCCGCCATTTCCAGAGGAACCGATGGCCGACGACCAGCTTCCCAAAGTTACAATCCAGAGGATGTGAGGGATGAAGTCCACCTCCGGCCGAAATTCTCCTCTGATCGTACCGTCAACGTAAATATATTCTGAGGACCACTAAATCATTCGTCACACCCGGAAAACGGGCACGGATTAATATTTTGGTTTGTCAGCCATCTGAATGTCAATGTTGTGACTCAAACGTCGTGACGAGAGCGTGTTCCTCCATCCACTCGGCATCGCTGTTGTTATAACTGGTCCTATAAGCAACGAGCAAAACTGTCGAAGGTCAATGCCCCTCCCTTTCACCCTAGGGTGAGGTTTCAGTCGGCCACCATCTGCCGGCTTTAGGGCGGTACCGGGGCGGAGGGGCGGGTCTACCTGAAGGGGTACGGTTAGCGTTGAGGAGGCGGGGCTAGGGTGTGAAGGGTGGGGCTACCTGCAGGGGTGTGGTCCAGGTTTGGGACGGGGGGTTTGAGTTCGGATGGGTGTGACTAGCGAATGAAGGGGCGTGGTTACGGGTAAAGGGGCGGGGGTAGGGGTGAAGAGGTGGGGCTAGAACATAGAGACGAGGCCAAGTGGCGACGGCACGAGCGAAGGATGCGTGTTCTGGTGTCAAGGGGCGTGTTCCGGTGGCGATTAGGGGCGTGGTCAATAATGGAGAAGGTGGGGCCGCTTGAAGGGGCGGTGCCACGCAGTGAGGGGGCGCGACCCCATTCGTTGATGGGTGGGGCATAGGTGGAATGGGCGTGGTCATTGGGTTGGGCGTGGTCAGGTGGTGTGGGGCGTGACCTGTCCAGGAGGCGGGGCTACCACCTCAGGTAAGGCTGACAGATACTCTAGGTGACTGAGCTCCTTTGCAACTTTTACCGTCGCCACTGCTGAGCTCAGGAAGTTTTTTTTTGTAATTGCACGTTGATTTGGATTTCTGTTTGATATGTGGTCATTATCCTCTCTCCTGCCTCTTTCTTCAGTCTAGTGCAGGCAAGCAGCACTTCTTCTGAGCTGTTTGTCCAAGACTACACCATATCCTAGGAGTGGATTACTGTTTAGTCAGTAAGAATTATAGAGATCATGTCTCAGAGGATGTTTCTAAGGGATACCTAATGTATTAACCCAGGCAGTCACGTTGCTACTTTCGTGTCACATCAAGTGGGTAAGTTTATAGGTTCATGGAGTTGGACTGCATAGAAACCAACCCTTCGATCCAACTCGTCCACACCAACCATTCTCCCAAACTGAACTTGTCCCATTTGCCTGCAGGCAAATCTTTTCTATTCATGAACTTATCCAGATGTCTTTTAAATGTTGTAACCATTTCCTCTCTGCCAGTTCATTCCACACATGAGCCACTCTCTTGGTAAAAACAAAAGTTGCCCCTCATGTCCTTTTAAAACTTTCTCCTCTTGACTTAAAAATTTGACCCTAGCTTTAAATTCCCCCACCCTAGGGAAAAGACTCTTTACTATTCACCTTCTCTATGCTCCGCATGATTTTATAAACCTTAATAAGGTCACCCGTCAACCTCCTATGTTCTAATGAAAAAATTCCCAGAGTATTTTTATAATTCAAACCATCCATTCCCGGCAACACCCTGGTAAATCTTTTCTGAACTTCCTCTCCAATTTAATAATATCCTTCCTATATCAGGACAACCAGAAGTGCCCACAGTACTCTAGAAGAGACCTCATTCAATGTCCTTCTGTGTCTGCTTGTGCAACACTGGTTATGGAGACTATTGACTCGAGTAGAACCATGAGGAGTGTAACTATTCTTCATGGAAGACCATACAACACTGGTTTGAGTTTCATTTAATGTAAATGACAATGTTGAGTCATTGTTTGATTCAAGTCACATCTCCTTAAAAGGTATTTGGCTAGTTTCAACTTATTCACACATATTTTCACGTCAGGCCAGTCTGATAAAGCGGTGTATTTCACAATCTTTTTTGACTTGAATGTAAACACACACTAATCAGAAGTAGAAAAATATGCGTATTTGATGGAGTGAATAATTGGTGGCTGTAACCACACAATGTGAAAGAATGATGTTATACAATTTCTGAAGAAGGGTCTAGGCCCGAAACGTCAGCCTTCCTGCTCCTCTGATGCTGTTTGGCCTGCTGAGTTCATCCAGCTCTACACCTTGTTATCTCTTATTTTCTCAATAGCTGGATGGGAATTATGACATTTAGGGACAGACCAACATGCAGCACAATCAGTCCTTCAGTATATGCTGAATTGATCTGAAACAAATCAAAATATCTCATCGACCTGGGAGCGGAAGTCAGCCATTGGTCCCTGATCCTGCTTGCCATGCAAGTCTAACTGCTGGAAAGAGTGCTCATAAGCGATGACAATGAGGGGCATGTGAGATTTTGATGCTACACTCCATACTGTCCCCCACCCCGTTGTGGAAATATTAGTGATACCAACTGGCTGTAATTGAAGAATAGCCCCTTGTGAAAGTTTTCTTGCAGCCTGCAAGGGCAATGGCAAAGAATTTGACTCCATTCTGTGGGAAAATTGTTCCCTTTCTCTCTGCTAAAATGACTATACACAGTATGAAAGAGGTTAATGTTGCACAATTCATGTTTAATCATACTGACTTTGTTTTGTGTTTACTTTTAGGAACATGAATATCTTGCTGGCGTTCTTTCTACTATACTTGGCAAAAGTAAATCTGGGACAAAGTATAAGTTCACAGCCCAACTATGTTCTTATCATGGCTGATGACCTTGGTATTGGAGACCTGGGATGTTATGGAAACACCACGCTGAGGTTTGAAGTTCAATGTGTAGTATTTTTCTTTTTATTAAAGTCATTATGAATGGCCTGTGATGTGTGAATCTGGTGTTGAAAAAGTAGCTTTTTTCAGTGGCTGCCTTATGAAAGCACTGACAGAGGAGAGCACTCTGCATATGTGAGCTGACATGTGAATAGGGCTGCATTTGATATCTGTGTAACTGAAGGGCTCAAAGTCAAGAAGCCAACAATTGAACTGTAAATGTAGAGAATTTAAATGTGGCCAAATAGTTCACTTAAAGAGAAAATAATTTAAAGAGTGGCGTTGTTGGGTGGACTTTGACACAAGAATTAGAACCAAAATAAGCTATTTTATCCCTTGAATCTGTTTCACCATTCAGTAAGGTCACGACTCACCCAAATTAGGAGTTTGCACATTCTCCCGATGTCTGCATGGGTTTCTTCCTACAGTCCAAAGATGTGCAAGTTAAGTGGATTGGCCATGCTAAATTGCCCATAGTGTCCAGGGATGTGTAGGTTAGGCGTGTTAGCCATGGGAAATGCAGAGTTACAGAGATAAGGTAGGGGAATGGGAATGGATGGGAGACTTGGTGTGGACTTATTGGGCCAAACAGCCTGTTTCCACACTGTAGGGATTCTATATAAATGAATGAGTCTTTAACTCCATGCTCCTGCCAGTTGTCCCGTACACTTTAACTCATCGATCAAAAACTGTCCAATAAGTTGCTTTATACTAGTAATATCTTTTGGAAGTGTATTGAACACATCAGCCAATTTGTATACAGCAAGCTCCCGCAAGCACCAATGTGGTAGGGACAAAATCATTTGCTCTGGTGTTCATTCAGGGACTAAATATTGGCCCGGAGGTGAATTACCCTGCTCGTTATCGAGTAGTGAATTCACTTGAGAGGAGAAATGTTTCATGACACATCAAAAAGACCTTGATAGTGCAGCACTCTTTTCATGAAATCAAACTGAAATTTGTGCTCTCTTCTTGAAGTGGGAAATGAACGTTCTTCCTTCATACACAGGAGTCAAGAGTGTTTTTCATTGAGCCACAGCTGCAGATACTTTAATGTAGAGTTCATTTTGTAGAGTTCATTAAGATCTCAAAAGCTTTAGGATCGTTGGCAATTAAATACCCCCTTGTCAGGAGGCTTTGGCAATGCTCAAAGTAATGGTCAAAGTTTCATCCTGGCGTTCAAGAGCCTGCAGAGATCCAGACATGTAGTCAGCTAGATCATAAATAAAGCAGCCATGCTTACAAGTCAAAGATATAGATGCATGAAGTACAACCATTTAGTTGGAGGCTCCTGACCACTAGTGGAGTTACAGCACCGCAGAAGTTGGCGCCTTCAGGAGAGGAGTGTTCAAACTTGGCAAGTGGTAAGGCAGAAATGAGAAGTACTTGCATTCAATGCAACAAAGTTTTTAAAGAGAGAAGTCACATAAAGCTTATCGCAAATTCTTTTAAGTTGTGCTTCAAAACAAAACGTACCGTCTTGCACGACCGGCTATGAGAGAGAAGATAAATGTGGATTGTGGTATCAGTACTGTTTCAAGCATCGGTTTCGATTATCAGCATGCTTTCAGCGGGAGGAGGTTAGTATATTGGCAGAACTCACTTGTTGTATTGCTAAACACAACCACTGTCTGAACCAGCAGGTCTGACAGGATTCTGCTATGTTTCTCTTAGCATTTTTTAAATAATTATGAAGCAAATGAACTTGCTCAGACAATTTATTACCAGTTCAGGGGAAAGGAATTAATTAGTGGCTAGAAAAGACAATCAATTTAGGGCGGTGGTGGCCTAGTAGTAATGTCTACCAGATTAATAATCCAGGAAGGCAGGCAAATGCTTGGTGAATGCAGATTCCAATCCCACCTTAGCAGGCGAAGTTTTAATTCAATTAAGTACAAAAAATCTGGAATTCTTGAAAAGAAATCTAATCTAATGGTGCCGATGTAACCACTGTCAATTGTCATGAAGATAAATCTGGTTTAGTAACGTTGGTCAGGAAAGATAATCTCCCGTCTTTACCTGGCTTGGCCTACGTGTGACTCCAGATCCATGTAGTAGAGTTGATTCTTAACGGCCCTCTGGCTGTCAAGACCGTTCCAATCTGTTCGAGGGCAACTAGGAATAGGTAACAAATTGCCAGCAACACCAATATTCTATACAAGAATAAAAGAAAAAAGAAACAGCTCACATTGCTTGGGGGTAGGGGTGCAGTGCGGAAAGATTGCCTGACCTACAATTAGAAAAGAAAATTTGCATTTATATAGCTCTTTCCACATCCTCACGACGCACCAAAGCATTTTACTGCAAAGTACTTTTATGCCTGAGTGTAGTACAATGTTAGAAATGTGGTAGCCAATTTATGTGCAAATTCCCACAAACAGCAACAGAAAAACGATCTAATCGATACTATGGGATAAATATGGCCACAACAATGGGGAGAAACCCTCCTCTGCTCTTTTTTGAAAGCATCATAGAATCCTTTATGGCCACCTGCGATGATAGGCAGGGTCTACGTTTAACATCTTGCCCCAATCCCATGTAGCATCAGCTTGTTGCCCCTCAACCATGATGTCCAAATGGGGGAGTGACCAGAAGACCATAAGGCATAGGAGCAGAAGCAGGCCATTCAACCCATCGAGCCTGCTCAGCGATTCAATGAGATCGTGACTGACCTGATAATCTTCAATTCCCCTATCCTGCCTTATTCACTACCTTCTGAGAGAAAAAAATTCTCCTTATCTCAGTCTTCAATGTACAACCCCTTATTCTGAGATAATGCCCTCTGGTCTACGAGGGGAACCATTTTTTCTGCATCTACCCTATCAAGTCCCTTAAGAATTTTAGTCAGCTAACCTCGCATTCTTCTAACTTTCAATGAGTACAGCTCAACCTTCTCAACTCTCCTCATTAGATAATCTTCCATACCTGGTAGCAGCCTAGTGAACCTTGTCTGTACTACCTACCTGTTCACGATACATAGCCAGCATGGCTGACACTACCTCATGAACACAATCTCTTCTCATTCTCATTGCTATTTAACCACCAGGACATACAGTTTACCCAGCTTTAGCTACACCCTCTCTGAATCCCTGCTGTCCTGTCTCCAGTACTCACTGGAGACCTGCAAGCTTGTCTTTGTCCAGTAGGGGAACATCACATATAGACAAGTGTTCGGACAGTTCCAAACATGAGCTCACATTGAGGCCAGCAAAGGGAACAGAAAGGAAATGAATACAGGCTGCAGTTTGCAGCCACAATACAAATCAAACACTGGCATCTTGGTCTTGACAGTCCATGATGGTCTTCTGTACCCAGCTTGCATCTACTGGAACTGGATATCAATCAAAACTTCTCCGGTTGAGAGCACACGATGCAGTTGAACTTGAACAAGGAGACTTTCCTCCAGTTTATTGTTCTCGTCCTTCTCCTTGGATGATTGCTCCCGTTCCCCCAGCCCCTCGGCATCCATCACATCACCATTTGCTGGCTGCGGTTGCACAGAGCACAGGGTGGCGTGGAGCACTCTACCGGATTGAACTGGAGGTGTCCCCACGCTGCTCCAAGCTGCAAAACCACGCCTTCGTCAGCTGTATTGTATGTTCCAGCACAGCCTTGGTCCTAGCACGTGCATCAACTTGGTGAAGGTGCCACGCCCACTAAGTGACCGACTCAACATGCAACAACCAGGCAAGGCAAGGTACAGATTCTGCGAGCTTGCAGTTAGGTGCTAAGTGTGTGAACACTACGAGAACAACTATGAGGAGCCCTGAGATGCAGCCTGGACCAATCTGTGAGCTCGGTGCCAGTCCCTGTCACATTCCCTGAGGGGAGGCGATAGCCGAGTGGTATTATCATTAGAATTAATCCAGAAACTCAGCTAATATTCTGGAGACCCACGCTCAAATCCCACCAGATGGTGGATGGTGGAACTTGAATTCAATATAAAACAAAATCTGGAATGAAGAACGTGAAGATGGAGACCATGAAACAATTGCCGCTTGTCAGAAAAAAAAACCCATCTGGCTCACTCATGTCCTTCAGGGAAAAACATCTGCCATTAAGTTCCCACCTTCACCTGATGTGGCCTACAAATGACTTCAGACCCACAGCAATGTGGCTGACTTTCAACTGCCCCCTGAAATGGCCTCGCGTGCCACTCAGTTCAAAGGCAGCTTGGGATGGGCACTAAATGCTGGCCAGCCTGTGATGCCCATGTCCAATGAGTGAATTATAAAAAAGCCTTTCAATACCAGCCAGTGCACCCTGCAATGCACATGTGTGCTTCTAAGTGGCATCCCAAAGGATTGGAGAGGTGCCATGAGGACTGTGATCAGTTTGCAAAAATCAGGTGCCTTTGTCTATTGCCAAAGGGTGTGTGCAGATAGTGCCGTTACGTGTTGCTTGATGCTGAATAACATGGAGACTCCTTCCAGTCAGTGATGAGCTGAAGCTGCCTTGTACTGATGTTAATTTCCATGTTGAGATCGCTTGATATCTTGTTTGTTCAGCGGGTTCGGTATGATAGAAAGCTGAGTATTATTCACACAATGGCCTAGTGGTATTGTCAGTTGACTAGTAATCCCGAGATTACTAATGTTCAGGGGACCCAGCTTCAAATCCCACCGCAGCGCATTTAGGAATGGAAACTAACTTAAGTGCCAACGTTGGGAGAGTTGTCTCACAGACCAGTCAAGCAATGGCCTGACACACTTTTGGAATCGTATCTTACACACAATGTCCCAGACACCCCGTCACCATCCCTGTCCCACCAACAGGAGAGGGCCAGAAGATATAGTGGTGCAGTGGGGTACAGTCGAGAGAGAACCGCGCAAGGAGTCCTTAATGTTGCCTCGGGGCCACATGAAGTCCCATGGCATCGGGTCAAACATGGGCACGGAAACTTCCTGCTGATTACCACAAACCGTCCTCTCTTGGCTGATGAATCAGTACTCCTTGATGTTGGATAACGCTTGGGGGAAGCACTGAGGCTGGTAAGGGAACAGGATGTACCAATGAGACTTCAATGTCCACTACCAAGAGCGACTCAGCAGCAGCATTACCAACCAAGCTGCTGGACTAGATCAGCAGCTTGGTTGGTGGGGGAGCCAACTAGAGTGAAAAACACAGATAACCTACTTCGCCCCATTCTGCCCATGGAAGATGTATCTTTCCATGACTGTATCAGTAAAAATGACAACATAAAGTCCCCGTTGAGATGAAATCCCATCTTCTCTTCAGAAATATATCCAGTGTGTTGTGTGACACTATCACCATGCTAAATGGGTTAGACTTGGAACAGATCAAGCAACTCAAGACTGAGCATCCATGAGGTGGTATGAGCCATCAACAGCAGAAGAATTGTACCAAAACACAATCTGCAAACACATGGCTGGTATAACTCCACTCTATTGTTACCATCAAGCAAGAAATCAACACTGGTTCAATGAAGAATGTAGGAAGGCATGATAGGAGCAGCATCCGACATGCATAAAAATGAGGCCACAACCTGGTGAAGCTACAAAACCACTCTACTTGCATGCCTAACAGCACAAGCAGCATGTAATATACAGAACTAAGCAATTCCACAAACAACAGACCAGATCTATGCTCTGCAGTACAGCCGCATCTAGTCACGAATAATGGTGGATAATGAATAATTCACTGGCAGAGGAGACTCCACAAATATTCCCCACTTGCCTGACTGCTGTTCCAACAAAATTCAAGAAGCTCAACACCATCCAGGCTAAAGCAGCCCGCGTGATTGGCTCTGCATTCACAAAACAGTCACTCCCTTCACCAATGACACTTCCTAGCAGCAGTGTGTACTGTCGACAAGCAATACTGCAGAAATTCACCACGGCTCCTCAGACAGCACCTTCCAAACCCACGACCACTTCCATCTAGAAAGACAAGGGCAGCAGATACATGGGAACGCCAGCACCTGCAAGTTCCCCTCCAAGCTACTCACCATCCTGACTGGGAAATATATCGCCGTTCCCTCACTGTCGCTGGGTCAAAATCCTGGAATTCCCTCCCTAAAGGCATTGTGGGTCAACCCACAGGACATGGAGTGCAGCGGTTCAAGAAGGCAGCTCACCACCACCTTCTCAAGGGCAACTAGGGACGGGCAATAAATGCTGTCCCAGCCAGCAGCACACACATTCCATGAATGATTTTTCTTTTTAAAAAGACCCAACCTACTCAACCTTTCCTCATTAAACAGTACCTGCATACCTGGTATCAACCAAGTGAACTTTCTCTGGACTGCCTCCAATGCCTGTGTGTCTTCTCTTAGCTAAGGGACTAAACTGTTCAGTTTGCCAACTGTGGTCTGACTAGTGCTTTGTATAATTTTCGCAAAATCTGCCTCCATTTATACTCCATTCCCTTTGAAATAAAGGCCAATGTTGCATTTGCCTTCCCTGTTACCTGCTGAACTTGGACGCTAGATTTTTGTGATTGAGAAAAGCCCCCAGTGAATCTTCTTAACCAGGAATCTAATTGGTGAGATGAGAGGCAGCTATCTTTCCAGATCCAAGTCACCCATTTATTCCCCCTCTTTTCACCATCTCCAGAGAGATTAAAAGTCTACTCTTTAAAAGTGGCGTTTCGGGTCACATGATATGGTATGCAAATCTGGGTCTCCCAGCCCAGAACCTCCATCTGGGTCTCGCAGCTTCAGGATAGCATTAGAAAGTTCAGAGTGTTCAAAGAGGACTAAGTACATAAATGACCAGCATTTATAAAGCATCGAGCTGTTTGTGAAAAGGGTGTAGCAGGACCTTAGACTGATTGGAATGCAAATACTGAAATTCTTGGTTTGTTTATTTTCATGTATGCATCTGTTGCACTGTTGGACATGTTCAAACTTGCTAATGTGTTTCCTTAATTGTAGGTTCCTTTGAGCCTATAATAAGTCATTGGGTTGTTCTGTAATTGGCTGAGCTTTTTTTTCCACAGGCTGTTGTATTATTGTGGATATTTTCTAACCAACTTGTTTGGAGGCCCTTGTGGTGCAGTTGTAATGCCAATACCTCTGAACGAGGAGGCCTGGGTTCACCGATCCAGGCTAATTCTGAGTGCTCTTGTGGTACAGTGGTAATGTCGCCATCTCGGAGTCAGAGGGTCTGGTTCAAGTCCCACCTTCCCCAGAGATGTGTCATACCATGTGTGAACTGGTTGGTTTTAAAAAAAAAAATCTGAATTCCAGGTATTTGGGGGTACTCATAATGTAGTGGTAGTATCCCTACCTCTGAACCAAGAGGCCCAAACGTAGGTCTCACCTGCTGCACAGGTGTGTAGTAATATCCTGTGCAGGTTGCTTAGAAAGTATCTGCAAGTCTTAAAAATATCAATTTAAACTAAAGTATCTGTTCAGAGATGCTCTTACAAACCTCCTAAGCAGATGGGACTTGAACCTGGCCCTCCTGGTCTAGAGTTAGGGATACTACAACTATGCCAAGGAACCTGCCTGAGCTATTATGTATGTTAAGACCCAGTAAATTTGAGCTGAACAGCAGGCCAAATGAAAGGATAGAAATTTACTTTCTGAAGGAATTGATTTTAGAGTCAAATAAAAGAGAAATTGTGAAAGAAACTCAGCAGGTCTGGCAGCATCTGTGCAGAGAGGAACAGTGAAACAAATCTATTACAGCTTTCTCAGAACTGAAGGAGGCTGGAAAATTATTAATCTAAAGATGGGAAACATTGCTCATATTTCCATTGTAAGCCAGTTGCAGTGTTCCAGTGATGTTCAAATGAAGCTGGAGGATAAGTACCTTATTTTCTGCTTAGGCATTTTACAGCCTTCGAGACTCAACACTGAATTGAATGACTTTAGAGTTCTCCATTTTGATTATAACACGACCCACCCCTCCCTGTGTTTCGTCTGTATCTTAATGAATTGGCCCTCAGCAGAGTTGACCCAGTTTCTCATATTCAAGCCTATTATTAACACCTATTATACATCTTAATCTGTCTTTTACCAAAATTAGCCCTCTCTTTGACTTTTGCCCTGGGCACTCTCGCCACATGTTCCATTTGCTCCTCCTCTCCCTTTGTTAACAGCAAACAATAACCCCATTATTTTTCAGCCCCTTCAGTTTCAATGAAGAGCCACTGGACTCGAAACGTTAACTCTTTATCTCTCGACAGATGCTGACTGACCTGCTGAGTTTCTCCAAGTGTTTGTTTCTGATTTTCAATATCTGCAGTATTTTGCTTTTTATTTGATTTTGGTGTCACTTGAGTTGTGAGGTAAAATGTTTATTTTTATCTCCACTAATTAATATTTCTCTCAAGTGACCAGGGGTTCAAAAGCTATGAGTATTGAACTAATGGGAATTCCAGGTGAAATTATCTGTATTTCCAAAGTAGGCTCAGAGGGATGGCCATTCAAGCAACTGTTGAGTACAACGTGAGGTGCCTATGACAGTTTTAAAGTCACATTTTGAGGCCTGAAAATTGTCTCAACCCTCTAAATGAGACATGATAGAGAAAGGATTGGGCGGCACGGTGGTTAACATTGCTGCCTTATGGTGCTAGGGACCTGGGTTCAATTCCATCCTTGGGTGACTGTATGTATGGAGTTTGCACATTCTCCCCGTGTCTGCGTGGATTTCCTCTGGGTGCTCCAGTTCCCTCCCACAGTCCAAAGATGTGCAGGCTAGGTGGATTGGCCATGTTAAATTGCCTGTAGTGCCCAGGGATGTTTAGGTTAAGTGGGTTAGATGTGGGAAATCGGGGGTAGGAAAACAGATCTGGGTGGGATGCTCTTTGTAGGGGCGGTGTGGACTTGTTGGGCCGAATGGCCTGTTTCCACACTGTGGGGATTCTATGATCTATGATCTATGATCTACGACCTGGCCAGGGATGTGCACGCTAGGTGGATTAGCTTCGGGAAATGCTGGGTTATAGGGATAGGATAGGGGGCTCGGGCTCGGGCTCGGGCTGGGTCTGGGTCTGGGTCTGGGTCTGGGTGGGATACTCTTCGGAGGGTCAGTATGGACTCAATGGGCCAAATGGCCTGCCTCCACACTGTAGGGATTCTATGACTCTAGGAGATATGCTAGAGGAAGGAGGTTCCTATACGACTGGGGGCTTGTGTTTTAGTGCAGGATGCAGTTGTTATAATTTAGTCAGAGGTCTGTGACAGCTATTGCTGCCTTAGAGACTATGATCCCAAACTTTCAGCTCATAACCCACTTCAGGGTCTGATCCCACCAGCAACCCCCACGTTGGGAAGCCCTGGATTATGGATTCTCTGGGGGTGGTACAGCAGAGCCTTGAGCAAAGAATCTGAGTATTCAAGTCGCTGTCAGCCACGCTGTGTGGTTTCAGGTCTTTCAGTGACTCTGAGACAGTTTAGTTCAGGACATGGGGATAGAATAGACAGGAAGAAGTGGGTCATCATAGAGACAGTAAAGGAAAACAGCAGCTGAGGTCTGGAGCAATGGATCAAAGCTGTAACAGAACATTGCAGGACAATTGGCCAAGGTGGAAAAAAAAGGGAACAGTGACTAATTTGTTTCCTCCAACCTCTGTTTCGAAAACACAACTCGAACCACTGACGTACGATTGCTTTCATTCAAATTGTGTAACTCCAAGTTGAGACCAATGGTTCAGATACAGGAAGACATTTCCAAAGTGTCATTTATACCAAAACAGGGAAGGGACTGTATAGTGTACAAGGATGTTGCTGTGATATGTACAACCAATATTGCATTGCTGCTGTCTTACCAGATTTCACAGCGAACTCCAAAAACATGGCATCTTACGTGTATCCGAGGCGATTTTTCTATGCAAGCAACGCCAGTAATTTTCCTGACATTAAACTGGACCATTTGAGTGTTTCTACTTCTAATTTTTACACTTTTGTTTTAAGACTTTGTCTCCTGTTGCAGAACACCCCATATAGACAGCCTGGCACAGGATGGAATAACGCTGACCCAGCACATAGCTGCATCCGCATTATGTACCCCAAGCAGAGCTGCTGTTCTGACCGGCCGGTATCCAATCAGGTCAGGTAGGTGTGTTTTCAACTGAAGCAACATAAACAAAGGAATTGCAGAATAACGGAATGCACAATGATGGCAGCGTTGTTGCCGGTGTGAGACTTTTCATGGCATGCGTTAGGCTTCTCCCTGAGCCCTTGCTATAATTTGCTAGGAGTGAGAGCTGTTAAGAGTGTGGTGAAGGCAGCGGGAAATCTGAGATCTTGGTGAAGAACAGTACCAACAGGCTATCTTCTTAAACCAATGAGACTTAAAGGTCGAAAAAGAAATTGATGAAAAACAGAGGTGGAGAGACAAATTAGAGTCAGATCTGTACAAAGAAAACAAAGTGAGAAAGATAAAGTAAACTGTTACAACCAGATCTAGATGGAGTCCGAATGAGATGATCCAATACCAGTATAACCCACCTGGAGTTACAAAGAGATAGTAAGAACCGCCAGTGAGAGAGTCAGAGATAACACCGTGTGGAGCTGGATGAACACAGCAGGCCAGGCAGCATCAGAGGAGCAGGAAAGTTGATGTTTCGGGTCAGGACCCTTCTTCAGAAATGCCTATGAAGGTAGAGATTTCCTTCACGTGGGCAGTCTAGGAAATCTTCTAGTAGTCCTAGATTGAGTAAAGCTATCTTGGTAATGTAGACGGCTTCACATACCCTACCCATGTAATCTTTCAGCCAGTGTGCTGGGTTGGTGCCTACTCTAGTCACTGCATTAACTTCGCAGTAATCAACACAGAGCCATGTGGAGCCATTTGGCACAACTCAGGAGCTCCAGCTACTGCTGCGAAACCAGCGGCTAATTAATCTCCTCCCAAATCTTAGCTCGCATTTGTTTGCCTAGCCAATCGACATATTGTATCATGAGAGGGGCCTGTCCCACGTCTACATCGCGTAGTGCTAAGGTGATGTAGCTTGTCTCTCCACAAATCCTTGAATGTAGTGAGTGGTATTGTTAAGCTGTTCACTGTCTTGCACCTAGGTGAACAATGAGGGATCTAGGTTGCTCATATTTTGATACTGTTTAGTCAGGTTGTCAAGGGTTCAACGGTTCAACATGGGCCTCACCCATGTCTAGCTCCAATTCCTTCCCACTGCTGTCCTTGACCTCTATCAAGGGGAGGTCATGCCTGACAAATCTGTCAGCATTCTTTGAGGAAATAACGAGCTGGTTAGAGCATGGAGAGCCAATAGATGTTATCTACCTCGACTCCAGGAAGGCCTTTGACAAGGTGTCGTACAGGGGCTACTGAGTAAGATAAAGGCCCATGATGGTAGAGGCAAGGTGCTAGCATAGGTAGAAGATTGGCTGTCTGCCAGACAGCCAGAGAGTGGGGTTAAAAGGGTCTTTCTCAGGATGGCAGTCGGTGACAAGTGGTGTTCTGCAAGGGTCAGTGTTGGGACCACAACTTTTCACTTTACACATTAATGATCTAGATGAAGGAACTGAGGGCATTCTGGCTAAGTGTGCAGACAGTACAAAGATAGGTAGAGGGACAGATAGTATTGAGGATGTGGGGAGGCTGCGGAAGGATTTGGACAGTTTGGGAGAGTGGGCAAAGAAGTGGCAGGTGGCATACAATGTGGGAAAGTGTGAGGTCATGCACTTTGGTAAGAAAAATAGAGATATGGACTATTTTCTGAATGCAAAGAGACTTGGGAGTCCTAGTCCAGGATTCTCTCAAGGTAAACTTGCAGGTTGAGTCAGTAGTCAGGAAGGCAAATGCAATGTTGGCATTTATTTTGAGAGGACTTGAATATAAAAGCAGGGATGTACTTCTGAGGCTCTTTAAGGCTCTGGTCAGGCCACATTTGGAGAATTGTGCATAGTTTTGGGCCCCATATCTCAGTGAAGATGTACTGGCCCTGGAGCGGGTTCAGAGGAAGTTCATGAGAATGGTCCCAGGAATGGAAAGTTTAACATATGAGGAATGTTTGAGGACTGTGAGTCTATACTCATTGGAGTTTAGAAGGATGAGGGAGGATCTAATTGAAACTTACAGAATACTGAATGGCCTGGATAAAGTGGATGTTGGGAAGATGGTTCCATTGGAAGGAGAAGCTAGGACCCAAGGGCACAGCCTGAGAGTAAAGGGAAGACCTTTTAGAACAGAGATAAGGAGAAACGTCTTTAGCCAGAGAGTGGTGAAACATTGGAATTCACTGCCACAGAAGGCTGTGGAGGCCAGGTCATAGTATATTTAAGACAGAGATAGATAGGTTCTTCATTGTCAAGGGGATCAAGGGTTATGGGGAGAAAGTGGGAGATTGGGGTTGAGAAACTTATCAGCCATGATTGAATGGAATAGAGCAGACTCGATGGGTTGAATGGCCTAACTTCTGCTCCTCTGTCTTATGGTCTTATGGTCTTGTATCGGAGGCAGTGGGACAGACCGAGTCCGAATTGTCGCCTTCTCAGTAGTGGTATTGCTTTATCATTTCGACATGACACAGCCTTTGCTGTTTTCTCCAATCAAATAATTAATGTTTCCAAGCTTGTTTGCTACTCAATTTAGGGAATTGGGTCTCATCAAATTTATCTCAGACCTGGTCCTTCATCTGCTTCCAAATCTTGGCTAGCTTTTAAAAACTGAAAAAAACTGTGAATCGTGTAAATCAGGAACAAAAAGAGAAGTTGCTGGAACAGCTCAGCAGGTCTGGCAGTATCTGTGAAGAAAAATCAGAGTTAACGTTTTGGGTCCAGTGACCCTTCCTCAGAACCCTTCTGCTGCCAGACCTGCTGAGCTGTTCTAACAAACTTCTGTTTTTGTTCTTGGCTAGCTTGTCTTTGTTTAGCCAATGGAGGTGTTCCCTTATGTGGGTACATTATAAATGTTCCATTATAATGTGGATATTTATGAGGTCATCCACTTTGGTAGCAAAAATAGGCAGGCAGATTATATCTGAAAAATGACAGATTGGGAAAGGGAAGGTGCAACAAGACCTGAGTGTCTTTGTACACCAGTGGCTAAAAGTAAGCATTGTAGGATCAGTAAATGGTGAAGAAAGTAAATGGTATATTAAGAACAAGAGTAAATCATTTGGCCCTTTGAGCCTGTTCCACTATTCAGTAAGATCATCGCTGATAATGGACTACAAAGCAAGAGGATTCGAGTACAGGAGTAGGGTTGACTTGTTGCAACTGTACAGGACCTTGGTAAGACTAGCCCTAGAGTATTGTGTGCAGTTTTGGTCTCCTTTTCTGAATAAAGATCTTCTGGCTATTGAGGGAGTGCAAAGCAGGTTTACCAGATTGATTCCTTTCCCCCTCCATCGCTTAATTCAAGACTGCTTAAAGCTCACCAGTTTTATCACCTAACCTGTTCCCCAGTGTATCTCTCTTGGCACGGTGTCAATTTTTGTCTGATTATACTAATGTAAAATTTCTTGGGATGCTTTTCTACAAATATTTTAACTGGATCCAAATTACTGTTGGAAATTGTGTTGGGTATACATCTTAGGCCTTTGCTCCCTGTCAGCCTTACCTTCCATGCAGATATTAAATTAAGCAAGGTGTGAGGTAATGGTATTGCAGCATTTGGTTTGGGATCATTTGGCTGCTTCACATTTGTGTATATTAATGAATACTCTGACCATTGCCCAACAATGTAGTCTGATTGCCAATAATAGTTTGGAGTATATCATGCTGAATAGGTCCAGGAATCTGCTCTATGTACAGCCTTTTCTTTCTGTCTGACAGCTCAGTGAGAGGCTGTGATTAAGTCAGGTGCTTTAATCAAAATCAGCTCTCAGGATGTTTATATTATCTGGCTGGCAGAACATTATTGGCAGTGTGTGGCTGTCAAATTTAAAATCCATACCTGCAGTGCTCTGCCAGTTGTTGTGAAATAGTAATGAGAACACTGGCCAGTGTTTTTTCTCTCTCATTCTCTCTTGCTCACCCTGTCTGAATTGGCAAGTGTTCTGTTCAGCTATTCTGTGAGCCTGTCTAACTACAACATACAATTTGCAATATTCATTTGCATTCACTGTCTTATGTGAATGTTCTGTGCTATCAGTTATCATTAGCGTTTACTGGGCTGGCAATTACAACGTTAGCCAGATTCAGCATTGGACAATCACTTTAAGTGGAACTTTTTATTTCTGTCCGATAGTTATCATTAACAGCTGTTTTTTTTTAAACACTTATTATTTTTCACAGAATCTGTATTTAATACAACCTCTCATAATGTGTAGCCAGTCATTATTCCCTCCAACCTATAATTTTCCCTGTACCTTCCAAAAAAAAACAAGAATAATTCATATAGCACCTGAATGCCTCTCTCAGATATCAAACATGCACCAGCACGGGTTTTGACTTTGCTAAATGATGTAAAATAGATACGTTCACAATGACCATCCCCAATACGAGACTAACTAACCACCGCCACCCCTTGACATTCAAGGGGTGTTACCATCACTGAATCCCTCACGTCAACATCCTGGGGGTTACGATTGACCAGAAACTCAACGTACAATGGCTACAAGAGCAGGTCAGGGGCTAGGAATGCTGCAGTAAGTAATTTACCACCTCACTCCCCAAAGTCTGTCCACCATCTACAAGGCACAAGTCAGGAGTGTGATGGAATAGTCCCCACTTACTTGCATGAGTGCATCTCAGGCGACACTCAAAAAGCTTGACGCCATTCGGACAAAGCAGCCCCCCTGATTGGCACTACATCCACAAACATCTACTCCCTCCACCACTGATGCTCAGTAGCGGCAGTGTGTACTATTTACAGGACGCACTGCAGAAATTTACCAAAGATCAGCATCTTCCAAACCCATGACCACTTGCATCTAGAAGGACAAGGGCAGCAGATATGTGGGAACACCACCACCTTCATGTTCCCCTGCAAACCACTCACCATTCTTTCCTGGAAATATATTGCCATTCCCTCACTGTCGCTGGGTCAAAATCTTGGAACTCCCTCCCTAAGGGCATTGTGGGTCAACCTACAGCACATGGACTGCAGTGGTTGGAGAAGGCTTCTCAAGGGTAACTATAGAAAGGCAATAAATGCTGGCCAGCAAAATATTAGACATCTCTTACCATTTTGTTTTACTTCAGTCCTTCCTCTGAAGTTGTTTGGAGACCTTTTTGGATAGATTAAGTGGAGTCAATGACTTTCCTCTTTAATAATCATCTTGGGAAGTACCAAAATTAGTTTAATGGGTTTAACATGCCTATGTTTAACACCTCCAATGAATGCACTTTCAAGAATGGAATGCTGCTCGTGAGCTTTATCCTAAATGAACGTTTCAAGTTACAAGGTAGGAATTAAAATTCACACGAGGAATTGGACAATTTGATTTAATTCACACTTTATTCAATACACAATTCAGCAGATGTAGGACTGGAGTGAATTAACAAGTTTATCAAGTACACCTCTTCGCCACTCCGTAATGTGGTAATCTACTGAAGCAAGATAGACAAATATTCTGGGAAACGCCTCTCTGGCTTCTGAACATAGACAGTACTCCAAGAGATTCTCAAATGCTTAATTTTCTAATGACCCTGGAAACTTATCTTCCAACTGGAAAAGACCTCCCCTGAGAGGAGGTTTTCTGTCTGCCACTTGAAAGTTTCAGCAAGGTACATGTTTCAGTAATGTGTTAAAGTGGATAATGACTCTCTTACAGTAATAGGTGGTATTTAATATCTAACCTAGCTGTGCCCAGTATTTTATATACTTTCCGTCTACTAATCCCACCCGTATCCATTTCACACACTGTACAGAATCAAACAATAAAGGAGATGGAATCAGCAATTTTAACATTTGATCAGCTCTGCCATTCACTAGGGATCGTGGCTGATCATCTTCCATTTCATCCCCACATCCCTCAATTTCCTTAGCTCCCAAAAATATATCCAATCCAGTCTTCAATCTGCTCAACATGTGAGCATCGACAGCCCTCTGGATAGTAAACTCCAAAGATTCACACCTCTGAGAGTAAAGAAATATTTCTGCACCTCCGTCCTAAATGGCCAACCTCTTGTTCTGAGCCTATGACTCCATGTTCTAGATTCCCGAGCTGAGGTAAACATTCTCTCAGCAGTTACCCATGTGTGTCCATTAAGAATTTGAAGTTTTAATTCGATCACCTTTCATTCTTCTGTACTATAGGAAACATGGGCCTAGTCTACTCACTTTATTCTGAGGACAACAGTCTCCTACCATGAACCAGTACAAAGAATGTTCGTTGTAATCTCTACACAGGAAGGAGATCAAAGATGTAAACAGCACTCTAGGTGTATCCTCACCAACGCCCTCTATAATTGTTGTATGACTTCATTACCCTTATACTGAAAACCTGAAATATCATATACAATTTGCCTTTCTAATGCTTGTTGTAATTACATGTTAACTTTCTGTGACTCATGTATCAGAATGCCAACGCCCCTGTGAATGCAATCATTTCTCATTCTCTAACAATTCAAAAAATATTATTTCTTTTTAATTTCCTGCCTAACTGATAACTTCACACTTCGAGGCATTATATTCCATCTGCTAATTTTTACTCATTCACCAAGTCTATGATTATCCTTCTGGGTGTCCTCTTCACTGCCTACTTTTCCACCTAACTTTCTATAGTGAGTAAACTTGAATATGTTATAGTAAAGCCCTTCATCAGGTCATTAATGAAGATTGTAAAAGGTGAAGACCAAGTACAGGTCTGTTGTAGTGTGTCACTAGTTACAGCTAAATCCTTTCAAGGAATTGCACACCCAGTCACATCTCCCAAATCTATGCCTATCAATAAAATAGATTGTAATCCTTGGACCTTCTGGCTGATCCTGGTCCACGGGTTTGTTGATCCTGTTTAGAATAATAGTGAAGTTATAAAAGTTCATCTATGCATAACTTCACCCCTCCACTACTCACAGCTCAAGCTTGTAAAAATCAGTCAGTATTCTCACACTTGTATCATTATCCAGGAAATGTGTTTGACAGCATCAACTGAAGAACAGGAGTAAGCTCATTGACTACCCTGTCTTCAATAGCACTTGCATGTAACCACTTGTGTAGAGTACTTGGAAACCTTTAACTAGTCATGGGGAAAGTACAACAAATTAAACGTTGTCACCTAAAATGTAACTGACTAATTTATGCATTGATGCTCTTCAATACCTCAGACTGTAGTTTTTTGGTTTAATGCTCCTGTCATTATACTTCAGTATATCAACGTACTGTGACGAATGGCTTTGAAGATGCACAGTTATATTTGTTCAATATGCACACATCTTTAAACTAACGGACAAAATCTGTTTTCTTCTTTTCAGGAATGACCAGCTTCCAAAGATTAGGAGTCTACATTTTTGCAGCTGGGTCAGGCGGACTTCCTACGAATGAGACAACCTTCGTCAAGCTGTTGAAAGAGCAAGGTTATTCCACTGGGCTTGTTGGTAAGAGGTAACAGGCCATTGGTATTCATACCTTCAACCTTCCAGGAAAACCTCTTTTTTTTGGTAGCTCTCCTATTTATTTCCACCTTCTATCCTACATAACTACGGTTTTATCTATTCCAGTCATTTCTTCAGATGACAGTCAGAGTATGCTGTTTGAAACATGAGGTCCTCAAGTTTTATTAATGAACTCTTAAAATAATAACTGCTGTTTTTCAAGCATATTTTCATGGTATTGGTTTTAAATTGTCTTATGTAATGTTACACGATGATACTGCTCTGTGAAAACCTTTTGAATGGCTTATAATAATGAAATTATATATATATTACCCCTTGATGGTATGCATGAGCAATTGTTCTATTTTAACTCTACGTTGCCAATAAAAATACCTCATTAACGTACAAGGGGGAAAGTGAACTCAATAAATGTGAAGCTGGAAAAGCACAGCAGGTCAGACAACATCCGAGGAGCTGTCTGACAAGAACATTGACTTTCCTGCTCCTCGGATCCTGTCTGACCTGCTGTGCTTTTCCAGCTTCACATCTATCGACTCTGGCTTCCAGCATCTGCAGTCCTTGCTGTCTCCAAGTCACTACGAGGAGGAAAATGTTCTGTTATCAGCAGGATTTTTTTGTTGTTGAAGAAACTTTATGCTGAATTCGAGAAATGCCTGCCCAGTTACCTCTCTCTCAGGATGAAATTGTATTGATTGCAGGAGGCCGATAAAAGTTGGCAAACTTAATGAGCCAACTTTCATGTTGTGTTTCTTTTCCTAATTAATCAAAACCTTTTCTTAATGATTCTAGCTGGCGGTTCCTCTTGACAAGTCAGATCCTAGAAGGAAACCTGCCTTGATAGATCATTTGTTTAATTTTTGCAGTTGGTTAGTGTGTCGTTAGTGACTACAAATATTCACGTGAGGCTTCAGATGTCCTTTAACAACATATAAGTTTTGCACAATGAAAAAAATACACAACAGTTAGAACTTAACAAACAGCAAAACAAAGTTCCAACCTGTTTCCCAACACTGCCCTTTGACAGACACTCAATTCCAGAGAAATTTCACTCCTATCTCATCTCTTTGGGTTTTTACTTAACTGACTCCTCCTGGTTTCTTGTGTTTGGACTGCAAAGGCAATTCTATTATTCCTTTCCAAGTCTGCTTTCACAATTCTGACAGTCTAAACTTTTTCAATTCTAATAACTTGAAAATGTCTGTACAAGCTCTCAGATTTTGGATGTTCTACACACTAAGGGAGGCAATGGCCTAGTGGACTGTTAATCCCGAGACCCAGATAATGTTCTGGGGACCCGGGTTTGAATCCCACCACAGCAGATTCTGAAATTAATAGTCTAGTGACGACTATGAATCCATTGTCAATTGTCGGAAAAATCCATCTGGTTCACTAATGTCCTTTAGGGAAGGAAACTGCCATCCTTACCTGGTCTGTTCTACATGTGACTCCAGATCCACAGCAATGTGGTTGACTTTTAACTGCCCTCTGGGCAATTAGGGATGGGTAATAAATGCTGCCTAGCCAGCGACACCCTCATCCCTGTGAATGAATTTAAAAAAATCTAACAATGCTTCATCTGGACTGAATGGCTCTCTAAAACTAAAATTCACCAACCAGGAGAAACTTGTCTCCCTTCTGAACTGAGCTGCTAGTTCCACTGAACTGAGACCTTGAACTTTCTGTCCTGAAGTCTAAACCAAATGCTTTGGGCATTTCTGACCTGTTGTACACTCAGCAATGTAAACATTCCATTTGTTACCACTGCAACGATTCTCCCAGACACTGGACTACACTTGACTTCTTGGAATTGATGTGCTCAGGTCATTATTTCAAATGACATTCTGACCTGTTCAAAAAAAAAATACGTTCACAGAGCTGGCCCACATCCATCAGCCTCTATTTTAAAATCTATATCCCAAGATATGATATAAACCCTTTATTACACTATGTGATTCCCATGGAATTTAGAGCACACAAAATGACCACTCAGCTGAGCTGATTCGTACTGGAGTCTGCTCCACACGAACCTCATCCCAACCCTTTTCAGTTAACCTGATCAGAATGCCATTCTGCAGAAGCAAAATCCTGCAGATGCTGGAAATTTGAAATTAATTTGAAATTATTACAAATTAAGCACAAAATGGTGGAAATACTCAACAGATCTGGCAGTAAAGAACTTTGCTACTCTGGTGAGCAGTATTTCAAATGACAATAGGAATGAATCGGGAAGATGCATAGAAACTATTTCCTTTAATAAAGGGACTTAGAACAAGGGGGCAGAGGGGCCACCATCTTAAACAGGGCAATTCAAGAAAGAAATTAGATGGTTTCAAAGATAGAAGGAACTGCAGATGCTGGAGAATCTGAGATAAC